TTGTACAATATTAAGAACAGTTTCATTTTGCATTTTTAGCATCATCATATGGCAGCTGCAATACCTCGTCATCTTCTTGAAACACTTGTCAATTGTCCAGCTTGTTTACAACGTTATAATGAACCACGAGTTCTACCAACATGTGGACATACTGTTTGTAAGTTATTGATTTTATGTTAGATAAAAAAAAAAAAAAAACCAAGATTCTACATAAAATATATTTAGGTACAACATGTCTTGAAAATGAATGGAATAATCAAGAATCATTATTAACTATAAATGGAGATAATGATAAATTAAATCATTATTGTCCAGTAAAAAATTGTCGAAAAGAAATATGTCCAACAATAAATAATTATATAGATTTACCAATAAATCAAACAGTTCTTGATCTTATAGAATCATGTAATTTTCATGTTGAAGCAACAGGACAATGCCATGTTTGTAATCAATCACCATCATTTGTTAAATGTTCACATTGTTGTTTATTTGTTTGTTTTGAATGTGCTAATCAACATAGACGTGAAGCATTAACAACATTAACAAATAATATAAATACATTAGAACAAGAATATTTAACTATGAATGATCAAATTGATCATGCAAGAGAAAGATTAATTGAAACAAGACAAAAATCCATTGATACAATACGTTTACATTATACACGTTTAATTGATGAATTACGTTGTGCACAAATAACAAATGAAGAAATTGTTGAAAGACAATCAGCGATTTGTAATAATGAACTTGAATTACTTATTGATGAACATAAACAACGTTGTGAACAAATAAATAAAACAATACAAGATTTACGTATAATAATAACAGATTGGTCAACTATAGAACAATTTAAACAATTACAATTAAAATTAACACATTTACAAGAAGATATTCATGAAGCAAATGAAATATTTCATGAACGTTTACCAGAAATGAAAATATTTGAATTTGATAATGATGATTATAAAAAGAAATTTTATAGTAAACATGTTGATTCACCATCACAAACAGATGAATTAGTTATGATTAATTGTAAACAAAATTTAACAATTTCAACAGAATCAACACGAAATCATCATTTAGATGGTATGTAACATTTATTATTATTCGTTTCATATTGATTTTGTCTTTTTTCTTTTCTATTTATATAGACTCATGTAGTACAGCTTCTTCAACAAATAATGATCATATAAAGATTTCAATGCCGACAAATGGTCGAATAATAAAAACGAATTCAAATGGTATAGGAAATCATTATAAATCACTCAATGCTATTCCACATCATCACCAAACATCAAAAAATCTATCTAATGATAATAAAAATGATACATTATATGAACAACAACAAACAACACGACCATCTTCATCAACAAATACAAATCATCGTTCTCATCCACCTGTTTCAGGAAATTCATTAGCAAAAACTGTTTCAAATTCCATAGCTGATCTATCTATAGCAACACATAATCCTAAAATTTCATCAACAACAATTCGTACAGCAACATTTCAATCTAAATTAGATAATTGTAATATTGAATCATGTAAAAAAATTCCACTTTCACAAAGTTTTGATTGGGGAATGTTAGCAATAACAAATACAAATTTAATATTACTTTATAATAAAGATAAAAGTTCATTAGTTATATTTGATGCTAATGGACATGAGAATGAAGTAAAAATAAATAAAATAAATAAGATTTATTATTATATTTTTCTTTCTTTAGAGAATTCAATGGTCAGATGGTGACATTAAAGATTTATGTATTTATCATGATGATAGTATAATTATAGTAGGTGAACATAAACAAGCATCAAAACCAATTGAATGTAAATTATATGTATGTAATTTAACACGAAAACAACTTGAACGTGAACGTGTTGTTGAACGTGGTCTTAATTGTCAACGTGTTGCATCGGATGAACAATTTATTTTTTATTCATCAGAAAAAGGTTGTAATAAATCTAAAGTATCTGTATTTGATCATGAATTACAATTACAAATAACATTTGAATCTGGTGTTGAAGTACGAAGTTTAGGTGTTGATATGCAATGTTGTTATATATTAGGTAAAAGACGTGAACGCGAACCAGGAAGATATTTTCTTGAAAAACGACAAAAAAATGGTAAATTTTTATTAAGTTTAATTTGATTGAAGAAAGTTTTTTTTTTTTTTGTTAATTAGGTCAACTTGTTCGTCGTATTGATTTATATGAAATAAATGTTGATAATATGAATCGATTGATTATTGATCCAGTTAGTCGTGGTGTTATTGTAACAGATGGAGGTAATAAAAAAATCTGGGCTGTTGGACCAGAAGGTGAAAAAAAATCAATTCAATATAGACCATGGCGTAAGTTTTTTTTTTTATTATAAATTTGATTTATTTATTTCGTTTTTTCTTTTCTAGCATGGAGTGTGGGATTTTTAACCAATGATACTTTACTTATCTTACATGCTGGTTGTTTAACTTTTCATGCATCTACTACTAATAATAATAAACAAATTAATAATGGAACAAAAATACGAAATGTTATTCCTAATGCTGAAAAAGTTTAAACTTTTTGTACTTTAAGAAAAACAAAAAGAATTCGGAGATAATAGAACTAAAAAAGATCTTTTAGTGTTTAAATAAATTGTTTTTTTTTTCTTTGTGATTTTTGATTTATTGTTCAAACAAAACAAAAGTGAAAAGTTAATGAGAAATAGAAAATATGAAAAAAAATAATTATTGATAATCTTCTTCTATGCATTCCACAAAAATAAAAACTTTTTTTTTTTTCGAGTATTGTATAAGGAATCCTTATGTATAAAACATTTAATAATTTAATT